AATCGGCTAATTCATTATGTTCAATAAAGACTTTACAATCCGGTGTGGACTCAATACAGCTCACTTCAATTCCACACAACGCAACTCAGCCTGACCCAACTCAGCCTCTCGCAACCCAAATCCTCCCAACGCAACTCAGCCTGACCCAACTCAACTCAACCCAATACAACACAACACAACCCAATTCAAAGCAGCCCAACGGATCTTAGGAAGCCGATCGACAACACTAGTGATATTTGGCTGTTGGTCGATATCACACTCCACGATTCAGAAAAAACCCACCACATCGTGAGCATGAGTGCATGTAAGTGTATGGAAACATAGGTACATATACATACAGTGATCGTAGTCTGCGGATTCTAGATACAATAAAGCTTAAAACTGCTTCACATGGATGACGGGATATATATGTCCATAAAAAATGTGTCGTTGATTGACTTTTGAAAGAATAAAGAGACGCTGCAAGTTTTGGTGCCAGTGGAACACAGCAATAATGAGCTCAGCAATTTGAAATGAAAGACTAATTCCTACAATCAATATCTCATTTTAGAATTGACTGCCTAGCATTGCTTTGATTCGTATGAAACAATCAGTCTTCGTTATCTTATTTAATTGTAAACGACAAGCCTTTTCTACTTAATCAATTTAATTTGTAAAGTTCTCATTGTTCGCAATTTCATTTAAAGCTGGGAGTTTAATCTTACATGGACTCAAACAAATGACCTTTTGCGTGGTGCGTTAACAATGTGGTTTTTATTGATGCTAATACAGTGTCTCTCAGATGGATGACTGTCGCAACATTTTTTTTTGGATTGCAATTGGTGGTCCGCTCGAACTAATATGCATCGCGAGTGCGGGATGCAGTCAGACAGAAGACACATTAAATTCAATCTTGGACACAATCTTGGACACTTAAATTCAAGGACACTTAAATTCAACACTTAAATTCAATCTTGGAGAACCTAGCCTAAAATATTCATCTGAAATGAATTCCCTTTTATTTAATCTTGCTTTTCTGTATCAATTAAGGTACTTGATTGAAGAGCACTACATGTATAAAAGACATACATCAAGCGCAACATACAATAACTCGTTTGATTTTCTAAATTAATAATCGTGAAGAGAAAAGAAAGTGAGAAGATCAGGAGTTAGGCTATTCTGAAGACATATTTCTTCTGGGTAAAATGCATGCATTCCCATAATCTTTATTTAGTAGGTTGAAAAGATACAAGTACTTTTTAGCGTTATTTTTGAATTAAGAAACAGTAATATATCGCAGGAAAATAAACCTGTTAGGAGAAAGCATATTTCCGCCTCATTTATCATTTATTATACAATTCCCTCCTCATCTTTCTTGGATAACAGATATGGTTGTGTCACCATTCATCTTCGATTCAAACGAATTGAAGTTGCAAACAGAAATTTGGGTAGACCCCCCCTGGACTCAACTTCATTCAGGATGAAGTTTCTCTTTTCCTGATTCTCATTGGTACTTAATGTAACAAACACTCAGTCATATCTCAGAGATCACTTTTGCTGTCACATTTAAATTCAGGAACTTTGTTCAAATGTTTCTTCATTTCAACAAATATTATTGAAAAAAACTCCCACTTCTATCAAAGTTGTTTAAAGCTACTCACTGAAATGAACAGAGAGGAACCCCACAAATTAGGATGCAATTAAGTAACCCCTCTTTGCTGAACAAATAAATTTGCATCCATGAAAAAAAAAGAGGTGATGAGTGAAATATGGGCCTTCGCGAATAGAAAAAACAGGTAATGGAGTAAATGTGAAGAAGTAACACCAAGAGATCTTCATGGAATGATGGTGAATATCATCCCATGAAGACTTTTCAGTGGCTAATACATTCATGTAATAACTAAAGCAATCTCATATGTGTGACTATTTAAAAGAAATTAAGAAATAGTTATTGTAGAGAATCCCATTTCACTTTATATTTGTTAAGCGATAGATGTGAACAAAGTGAAAACAATATAATTTAAAGCACTTTTCCGAACACTGGAAATCCGACTAACTCGGACGTCATTCTTGGCACTTCAAATCTGAACAATAGAAGCCACCTCCTTAAAAATCAACTTTTCGGAAAACTGTTTAGAAAGGTCACAAGAAAATTCTTGAAACAATTTCTACTATAATTTCATTTAGAATAACTGCACTAATCGATGATAGGATACAACCAAAAATTCACTGGAGCTAAATATTTGTTTAACAATAGCATAGTATTTATTCCTTTACAAGATTTAAAGCAATTGAAAGATAATGCACTTTGATGAAAGTTTCATTTTCTGGTTTCAACCCACAAAACTAAAAATATAAAAACCGCGAATCGCTCCGGAATCGAGTATATGTCCTCCACTCATAAAAAAGATTATCCAGCAGCCACTGGTGAGAAAAAACACAACATTTCAGCAATTCTGGATTGCAGAATTGCAAACCATGGATTTGGTAAATCTTTGAAAGAGAGATAGCAAATGAAAATCTGAACTTTTGGTGGGAAAATTTATGTAATTTGATGGGAAATTTGAAGCATACCAAGGTTTTTGCAATCAGTTTCTTAACTAAGTTTTTTTCTTTACTCAAGTTGTATGCTCAAGAAATGTCTGACACTAATTGCATGGAAGTTTGCAGAATACAAAGCTTCAGGTTTCTTATTAAGGAATTTTAATATGCCTATATATTTGCATTCAGGAATAATCTAAAGTAAATTTTGCAGATAAACGTAAATGTACTTTATAGCTGATATTCATCGGGCACGATGCAACAGGACATTGCTGGATGTAAGCACTTCAAAAACAATTTCGTTTAAAATCATTCATTGCTAATGAAAAACACATGCTTACATTCCTACCTTATATATACATATATATATATATATATATATATATATATATATATATATATATATATATATATATATATATATA